CCTGACCTTCCTCTGCTAAGGTGCTCAGTTTGTCTCCCACTCTCTGACAGTGCCCCTTTCTTTCAGGCTCCCATCTCTTTCTTTGTGTCATAGCATCAGCCTAAGCTCAACTCACATGCTTTGGTATTGAGATTCTCTTCTTTCCTCCCAGATTTTTGTCTCCTCTGCGCCATTGCTGTGACAGTGTAAATAGGAATTTTTTTGCACCTCAAGCCTGGTTTCAGCCACCTCTCTAAGAGAGCTGTGCCCACGGAACCAGTGCTTTAGTTTCTGTTTCAGTAACTCTTTCTTCTTCCAATAGCTTGAAGGGTTCTCTATAAAGATACTTCTCTCCATGTGCCTATTTTCATATTTTGGTCAAATCATCCATCCATCTTTTCTCAAATCCATTAAATAATTTCTTGAGCATGTCATAGAGAGGTATGTTTTCTGGTTTAATAATTACTAACCCAATTCTTTTCTGAACATTCGTGTTTCCAAGCCATCTTTGTGAAATCTGCACACAGGATGCATGTCATATAAATGATGGTTAGACGCCCATCACAACAGGGTTACTGTTATGCTTTATTTTATTTCTGGTTTCATTGAACTTGTGCTGATTGTGCTTGACAAGGTCTGTTTATCGATGCCAGTGATACTGTCCCTTGAATGAGTCTCACAATCACTGTTCCATTGTTATGCTCAGGTTTAACTGGCATGTCATTATCTTGGGGCATCCTATATAGTTTCTTAAAAGAAAGTGCACTAGTCCCTTCCTTTCTCGTGGTCCAAAGCTTTTAGAAAGGTCTAGTTTTTTGCAAATTCCAACTTTGGATTTACTTCTTATTTTAATTCCCCTTTTTTCTAATTTTTAGTTACAAGAGTTCCATTCTATACATTACTTTTTTTTTAATGTGAGAAGTCTACTTAATGAGCTGTTTCAATCTGCTGTAAATCAGACTTTCTGCCGAACTTGCAGAACACTTTTTTGTGTTGTTCATGATTCTTGGCTTGTGAATTTGGGTGGACGATGAAGAAATTAAGTTGCTAAATGCGTTCCCCTTATTGACTTTTTTCTTTTTCTTTTTTTTTTCTTCTTTTTGTCCCCTGATCTACAGGCTTTCTCGATTTGGCTTTTTGAAAGCATTATGTTCATATATTACTGGTTTGAATTTTATTGTGTGTGCAAATAACACATAATCAAATCACTTGTATTTAAGCAACCATTACTGTTTAGTCTGTAATCATTTTCTTATTGATCGAAGTTCAGCCTTGTGTTAAATTAAAAACTTCATCTGTGTAGAGGGAGTTAAGAAACCAGTGCTTTCTTATTCCTAAAAATCGGAAACACAAGACCTTGAGACTTTTGTTCAGCCTTGAATCTTCCGCGTTGGTTGAGCTCATCCGTGGTGTGATTTGATGATGTGTAATGGATGCCAGCTGTTAACTTGATCTTGACGTTGTTCCAGCCTGTTATTTTCCTTGCTAAACACTGATCCATAAGTACTTCTGAGAGTGAGAGCTGGGTTGAGGTACCAAGAATTTTAAATTGTTCTGTTCAGAACTTGTTATTGATATAGAATGTCGATAATGGGTGAAATTGAAGGGCTGTGGAGGTCCATAGCCTGTCTGACAGTCAATGGAGAAGAAGAGAAGAAAGAGGAAAAATATTCTGGTCAAAAAATCCATGTTCTTGTCAGCCTGTGCAGGCTGCCCTCTGTGACCATGTACTTTGTATCTTTATATTTGATCTCAACTTGATTTTTAGTGGGGCAGAAATGGAAGTGTGACTAAGACATGAGAGGGGAATTTGGGAGAAAGTCTTAATTTCCACCTCTGCACAAACTAGCACTTGTCTCTTGTACCTCATTGTGGGGGGTGGACACAACCTTGTTGTAAAATATTGTTGCCTGTTTTTAATCATTGTTCATGCTTTAAAAGTCAAAGTAAAGCCCAGAAACTTAGAGACACTGAAGAGGTAACTGCATCAAAATTAACCATCTCTTTTAAAAGGCAATATTTAGTGATGATGAAAGGTATTTATGAGCTAAATTTCATGCAAGTGCCTTTTGAGGGTTGTAACTAAATCTGATACTTTAAAAATGAAGTTGATATTTATCAAGGTGGTTTTTAGAGGCAGAGATAGAGGCAGAGTAAGAAGAGAATTGCTTGGTGGTGAAGTTTTACATCATTTTAGGAGGCAGCGCTGCTTCCTTCACAGCTCCAAATTCATCACTTAATTGACATTTTCTGTTTAGTTGTAGTGTTTCTACAGAGCTATTTTTGAGTTTGGTCTTGGTGCAGTTCTCTACAGTTTTATTCTCAGTATGAAAAATCCCTTCCTACGTGTCCCTGCCATCATGCTCCTCATGTTCTTTGAGAAGGGTAGCCAGTTTATGAAGAAGAAAATTGTGTTGAGTTTTTTTAACCTGAATATTGGTGTTCTGGGCAGCAGGGAAGTATTTAAGGAAGCAAAAATACGATATAAAGAAATAGTCTTAAGGCCTTTACTTTTCTTTTTCCCAGTTCTCCACATTTCTGCCAGAGAAAATAAATTTGCTCTTTGCCACTGCAGTTCCATGCAGAATACCAGTGGATGTGCATTTTCCTCTTCACATGTATTTAATAAATGCACTATTCCGAATCCTGATCTCATGCCACTGTTTGTATTTAAATTTCCTTTATAGCCAAAATGCTGTATGTATTTTGGAGAAGAATCTACTAGTTGGAAATCCTTTTTATTCCAAATTCTTCCTCTTTGGGAAATTATCTGTATCTTCTGAAGCAGACAGACACCAGATTTAATCTGTTCTTACTGTTCACACACTCCTAAGCATCACCAGGTTGGTTTTAACCGATTATTCTGTCTCCACAGCACTAGATGGTGCTGATGACAGTGTCTCTGCAATATGAGCCTTCAAGAATAACAATGATGGGAAGAGCGGTGCTTCTGTTTCAGACCAAGGACTACTTCGCAAATCCAAATTTTGATTTGAACAGAGATTTCAGACCACAAACGCAATAGCAGATTATCAGAGGGGAAAAGGTGGAAAGCCTGCTAATACATCTTCCCTTTTCGACAGGGAATGTCCTGCTAGTTTTGACCAACAGCTGTGAATGAGTGGGAGGTTGGCATTCGAAATGACACGTGTTGTCAAGGCTGTATTGGATAGCCTGTAGATAAGAACAAGATTCTGGTTTTCATGACATTAAATGTGTTGTTATCCTGAAAACACTAAATGTTCTAAACCCGTAACCACCTCATAGGCCTTGCATTCTCATTTGATGTTCTTGCCTTATCAGTCCAGTTGCGATTATCATCACGCAAGCGATAGGGTCCTTGTCCAATCAGGAGCTGGGCAGCCATGGTACTGACGTTGGTTTGGCCATGACATCTCTAGGCTGTTCCTCATGCAGGCAGACCCTACCTGAACCTTGAACCTACTCAAGGCCTCTTACATGGGTTAGTCAGATATCTTGAAGCATGGCAGAAGTTGTCTTTGAAAAGAAGTTGTTTATCTGTTCACAAAATATCTAACTGAAGATGTGTCGGGAGGAAGTGGAATTTAGTGAGTTGGCTCTTGAGGGGTAGGATTTGGTCTTGAGAAGCATTAACTAATTCCTTGTGGTGGTGAGGAGCGTTGGAAAAGCCTTTTCCTGGGGCCCTTGACTAGCAATGAGGGGATGAGCGCTTATACTCCAAGCAATCCACTACCATCTATGAAGGATGCAATATCAATGATCTTTTTTTAAGTAAAAAAATAAAATAAAATGAACCAAAATAAAATTAAGAGGGCTTCTTCAAATGCTAAGCATCATTTCTTGGGCAGGAAAGCTTTCCAAGCGTGTGCTTCCGAGCACTGAAGCTGTCCTTAATTCCAAGATATATTAGGCTATCAAGAATATAACACTGAGGTAATATTTTGCCACTTTTTTAAATTACTAAACTGGCTTTAATATTTTGTGACTGAATCTAGTGAACAGGGAGTTGCCACTGCTCCTTATCCAGCAACAAGTGTAACCAACTTCAGGAGCAGCACGCTCAGGCACTGGTGAATTTTGTTGGTACTTATTTCTCAAGTCAACCTTCTTACCCTCTGAGGACCAAGGGAGTCATCCTTGGAAAAGCCTAACAGGAGTCTTGTCATGCTCCAAAAAGACAAGCACAGAAAGACTTCAAATATATAACCTCTACCAAGATGGGGAGTGTTATCTGTGAGTTGAAACCCATGTTTGAGGTATTCAGTGGCTTTACAGAAGCATCTGACTCCTTGAAGCTGCTGAACACTAGCTGGTGGCCTTTGTCCACTGCTTCATTACATCTTACATATCATCTCTCCTTCACCATTACAGTCAAGTTACATTCTCCTTATATATCAAGATTATACCAACCTCTATGAGTGCTGTTGCCATGCTTGTTTTCAAAGTGCATAAAAAAAAAGTTTTTTTCTCTGTATGCATGTGGGCCCCTGATTTCACAGATTATTTATAAAGCTAAGGTAATGCTTTATTATTTATAAAGCTAAGTAATGCCTTATTCCTTGACTTAAGCTAAAATAAATTTGAAAATAATATATGCTAGTAAAATGCAAAAAGGCAGCCTTCAAATACCCAAAGCTTCTGGCATATACTTGGATTCTTCCTGTACTAAGCAATTAGATTAATGAAATTAATAATACACAAGATGCTTAAGGATATATTGCATGAGGTGCTGCGCTTAAAAATTGCATTTTAGTGAACACACAGTAGTTACAAACTAAAATTGCATGTATGCCATTCCTTCTGTTACAGTTTGACTTTCAAGAATTTAACCATGAACATATAATGTTGTTCATATCATTTTTGTATAGAATATTTCAAATTCACGTTCTGTTGTTGTTTAGCACAGGTCTTAAATAATCAATTCTTTAACTGTTTTGCATTGCATTCTAAAAATCTTGCATATATAATAAAACATTTCTTCTGACTGGACAGTCTCAGTTATTTTATAATTTTTTTTCCTTTTCTTTTTCCCCCTCTAGTTTATTTTCTTTGCTGTCTAAAAAACACAACAAAGTGCTGGAACAAGCCACGCAGTCCTTGAGAGGTTCCGTTGGTTCAAATGACTCTCCACTTCCTGATTATGTGAGTATCAAACTTAATGTTTTAGTAGGTGCTTCAAAACAGAAGTGGTACATCACTAAATCTGCAAAGATTTATCAAAATGTGTGACAGCTAAGCAACCAGCGACATCAAAATACCGGAACCTGTATGAATGATGTCATGTCTGAAAAACATCCCAATGTTACACTTACAAATGGTAAAACAAAACCACAGCTTTTCATAGCTGAGAGACTTACTGTACCATGTCAACTTGCAATTTTCAAGCCATTTGGATTTCAGGATATTTAAATTATACAGCTAAAAATGTTAGATTTAAGAACGGGGCTTTGGCATCCGCAGTATGTTAAAATGCCTGAAAGTGATTGAAAACAATTCCCAGTGGGCATTTGGGGGAGTACTGCAGTCATGGGGCAGATTAGTGTGTTCTGAATACATGGATACACACAGTACTTGTCAGTTTGCTGAGCCAATACCCACAAGCAGGCAACAATTTTGTAATTTAATTGCATGGCTTGTTGGAAAATCTCTAGTTTCGGTACAAGAAGCAGACGTCTTCCAAGGACTTGAATAATATCTTTGTAGTACTGAAGTATCTTTGGTTTGCACTCATTTGAACTCTTACTGCAATAGTGTGTAAAAAAAAGAGGGCTGTTTTATCAGTTGAGGAGGAAAATCTAACAAGAGTTTTATTTTTAGTGTTATTACATGTTCCGGGACATGCCTGCCCAAGATTTTACATATCATATTGCGCTAACATTTAGTATAAGAATACCTCAAAAAGATAATTTGGTATAATAGTTTAATGACTTCAGTCTAATTTAACTAACCGGGTTTCTTAACCTGCACCTTTTAGCTGTTATTGCTGACACACAGCATAGAAACTAGAGGCACTTTATTATTGAGAGACTCGTGGGTTTATAAATCAAATGAATTGCAGGATTTCCCTGTGTATTCCTGCTGCCTTACCATGCCCTAATTCATGTGAAGCTCCTTACAACACTTGTGGTTTTGGGGCTTCTTTTCTTACCCAAAAGCTGCTGTCTGACCTTTTATTTTTGGAACTTGAATCATTGCAGCAGGAACCCCCTCAAGTTGGTCTGTGGTTAAAGAGCAGAAGATCCCCCTTCTGTTTTTCCAGTAAGGCAATACACAAGCAGCATAAAACTCTTCCATCTGCACGGACATGAACATCTGAAAGACTTCAGACACCTTGGAGAGGACTTGGTGTCCCTTTCCCATGGGTTTGCTTCTCAAGGAGTAGAGGCTCATAGTGTAAGGACTTCCACAGCTGTGAGGACTGAAGTATTTTGGGTGCTTTGTGCATTTTTGAATGTTATGGTTGATAAGGATCTTAGGGCTGTATTTCTCAGAGGTGATTAAGCCTGGTGTCATACCAGGTTCCAGCTTGAGCAGTTACAAACAGCTAGTCATTCAAACTCCTCCTGTGGTCTCATGGCTCTTTATTGAGCTGTCTGGAGAGCTGTGATGCTTCAGTTGGGTTCCAGGGCAAAAGGAGGCTGCTTTGGTGGAGGTGATGTGTTTTGATACCTGAAATGCATTACACCATATGTCATACCATGAGATGGTTCTGCAGAGCATGTGGACTCACAGCCCAGAGGGGGTTGGAGTAGGTGCTTGGGGCTGGGTTTATGGGAAGATAGGTTCCATAAGCTGGAATTGATGCTGAGGGCTGTGTATTTTGAAACTAAGCTGCACTAATATCATGGGCTCTTGGTTAAATAGCTGTCTAGCATCTTCAGATGCCTAGAGGAGGGAGGTGAAGTTTTTAACTCTAACTTGTGTTAGGGTTATACAGGGTCCCCCTTGTATACAGGGGCTGCTATTGTATGTGTCCAGTTGTCAGGAGGAGGATATTGATTTTATTATGTTTTCTTCCCTAGACAGACAGATTACCATCCCCACTGTTCAGAGGAAAGAAAGCAGGATAATACAGACATGTGTTTGTGAAAGAGCACATATAAATAAGTATCTATGTGTGCATGCATTTATTTACAAAAATGTGAAGATCTGTATATGCGTATTTTGGAGAATGTGGAAGAATTTGGTCCTTGAAAAATATTATGTAGGTTTTGTACTTCTTTTTAACTCGCTGGATGCGAACTAAGCTGCAGCTAAGGAAAGACCTAACATGCTCTCTGTACAAAGTTATCCCCTTGCAGATGGAGACAGCTGAGAAATGCTGGAGGAGTACTAGGGAAGCACTTGGAATACAGCCCAGAGACTTAGATAGTTTACTGAATTTCTGCCCTTTTATTGTTGGTATAACGTAGGGAGGGAGGGGAGGAGAGCGGCTGGAAATATTGCAGGGGAGAGTAAAATCACTGAAGTTTGTGGCCTGTATTCTGGAAGAAGACTGTATGCTTTTATGCATGGCTTTTTGCCTTTTTTTTTTTTATTCCAAATTCCTAATTTTGCAGCTCAATCTGAGGCATAGTCAGTTGCCTAAATAGGCCAGATTTCATTACTTCAGAGTATTCTGCTTCTGAAAGCCTGTGAGCCTGTGTTTGTGTTGTCCTTAAGAATAGTGAAGAATTTAGGAACTGAGATAATTTAAGGGTCTGAAGTCCTGCAGCTCGTTCTACCATTGATCCCTTTCTTTAGCTCCATGCTGGGATAGATTGCCTGCTCTGCCCAGATTTATGTCTAGACAGGAGGAGGATTGCCGAGTAAGCTATTCTCTTCACAGGTTTCATTCAGACCAATCAAATATGTCTTTGAAAACTGTATTTCCCATGGATTTTTAATTCACTTTAATGTAGAAATCGTTTTTTTCTTACTGTGTTCCGTAAGTTCAAAAGTGAATTTGCGTGAACCAAGAGTCACGAGGGTTAAATCACGCATAAAATTCCAGGTTGCTTAAGGTCTTGTCTTGAGGTCTTTCTACTCGTTTGTGAGTACTAGACATCAAAAAAACAAGTTACGGTAATGTTCTTCTTAGGGCCAAGAAGGATTTAGAAAGGAAAAGGCAGCGTCAGTGATCTTGAACTGAGTGCTGTCCATTGTGAACATCATACGATAGAGAGGTTCTGTGATTTTGAGTGTGGTTACACAGTGTGCCCAGGCTGTGACACACACATAACAAGGGCAACAAATGGAGAGTGGACAAGATGCATGACTCCAGCAGTAGTAGTGTTTCTACTCAAAAACTGAAGTTTCTGACCTACTGTTCAGTTCCTAAGATGGTGGTGGTTGATGGTGGTGGTTGATGGTGGTAAGAATATATACTGGGATCTTCCTTTACCATGTTTCCTACAGTCTTTTTTATCTACTGCAGACTACCATCATGTCCTTGGTGTGCCAACAAAGCTTCTGATACCTTGCTGTGAACTAGGATAAGGAACTAACCCAGTTGGCTTTTATATTGTTCTTATTTAGGTTTTATGGGCTTTAAAAAAGAAAAGAGCAAATTGTTTTAATTTATTAGGGCTAGACCAGTTTCCTGATCCTTTCCTGATAAACTGTTGTCAGTGGAGTGGGATTCAGGAGCAGGATGGAGAAGCCAGCAGGGAAGAGAGAAGAAACCCCATCATCAAACCATTACCTCGGAGACAGGATTCTTGGTTAGCCTCATTCTCATGCTATTCCATATACTAGATATTTCATAAGCTTTATTGGTAAGCATTATTTTCAGAGCAGCAATGACCTGTTTTGAAATGCCACACTTGGGGCAAGTTGTCTTTGTCTGCAAGTATCTCCAGACTTGGAGAAATGGGAAAAATCTAATTAAGTTTTTTCATTACTTTCTTGCATTCAATGAAAGCACATTTTCCAAAACCTTTAACAAACTGAAAAACTTACAGTGAAATATTAAGAATTTTGCTTCTTTCAAATGAAGACAAATTGCTTAAGTGAACATATCAGTGGGGTTTTGGTTTTGGTTTTGGGGGCTTTAATTTTATTAGCATCTAATGTAATTTGTTAAATCATAGATACTGAACAGCATAACTGGACGCATGCTAGCTTGCCTTGGAATGCACCATTTCAAACCTATTGTTGGAGCTGCCAACTACCTAAACAGTTGCTTTTTAAGGATTTCATGGTATTATGATTTTTGAGCAGTTCAGTGCTCATTATACTATAGCTGGTAACGAAGGATTCCCCTCAACTATTTCTAGGAAGGGAAGGGATGGAGAAGAGGAGAATAAATTTCATATTTTGGAAAGCTTATGTCAGAGGTTCAGAATTCTCTTGCTGATGTAAGAAAGCAATCTTTTCTTAATGCAAAAGTTGGGGAAAATGAAATAAATAAATGTAGGAATAGTTCTAGATTCAAATAGTTTGGCATGCGTCATCACTTGAGTCTGTATTTGGATACACAGCTTTTGGTTTGGTTTCTTAATTTATTTCAACATCATCTAATGCAACACAGGGACAAGGGATTTTATGTCTGTGGGAGCCCAAACTCTGTTTACTGGTGGTGGGTGTGAAGGCTTAGTAGTTAAATGAAAACTCCTTGGAGCACACTCTGAGAATCACTCAACACCCTGGGTAGGGGTCACATTTCTGAGCACCCCATGGTGTTGTCTGCTGGGAGTCCTCTCTGCCATCCATGGGGGTTTTACAACAGCCTCCAGTTGCTTTAACAGAATAATATTCACAGAAAATAGCGTAGGTAAGATGATCACTAGCCACAAAGGAAAGTAATAGTTCAATTTAACTTTATTTTTACCTTCTGAATTATTGGCTGTAAGAAAGTGCATTGTTCTATGCAGATGAAGCATAAATGTATTAGGAAAAATTCTAAAAATAATCCCACTTACTGCCAGTATCTTCAATTATTTCATATGAAGGACTGTCACTTAAACAGCACTTTGATAGTGGAGGAATATTGTTGGTGATTAAAACAACGTAATACGGTGTTGGACTTCTTGTGTTGCATATGTGCTCCTGTGAATGCATGAAGAGCTATCCTTTAAAATCTGTTGTTTCCCTGTTAGTTACGGTATAAAAATAAATACATGGTGGCAATTCAAAGGGAAAAATGTAAAGATTATGAATGC